TATTTCCTAGGTAAACACCCAACCCAACTAGCAGATTATGCAATATAGTTTTTGCGACGTTACATAAAACATGTTATGCTTCATGCTGATATTAACCAGTGCTTCCCTGTCTCTCTCTCTCTCTCTCTCTCTCTCTCTCTCTGCAGGAATGAATCTGCTGTTGTACAATACAGACTGACATTTGTCTTTCCACAAGAGCAGCAGGCAGATTTAAAAAAATTTACTCTCAGCCGGGAGATGGTCTACAACGTGTTCAGGCAGTTCCTTTACGACCAGGATGAAAATGAATTAGGGAAAATATTCATTGAGCCATTTTCCTTAAAAATGGACCCGATACATTAATTTATAAGGTGTTGAGAAATGAGTTGCTGCAAAACCACCTAAACCTTAATTTCTGCCTGTGAAACTTTAGTTTGGAGGCCAGTTTACTTGACTCCTGTTGTACACCACAGGCCGATCATTCATACTGCCCATGTGAATACTATCAGATGAGCAGGTCTGGAAAATCATCTGCTGGGGAAATCCCAAAACACATGGTTATTGTTTCTCATTTAAGATAGAATACATTTTTTTTAATGTTGTATTTTAGATTTTATTTTTTATTACCTTCATTGCCGAGCCTCAAAGGCTTTTGTAAAAACTTTGTCAATGTGAATTAAGTATGGTTGTACAACGGGAAAATGATAATAAGCTGTTTATAGATGTGTTTATACAGAGAGCTTCAGATACTGGTTCAGTTTTGATGTGTGACCAGGCATGATTTGTATATTGTAAATAAAGCTGCTTGAAACATTTGCATAAAGTGCAACAAACACTAGAATAAACTACAGGGAATTTAGGATTTTTTTTCTCATTTCCAAGTGATAAACTTAGATGCCCAACTATGAACTGCAATGTTTTTTTATTCATGTATTTTTCTTTTAAATATTAGACCTTTCAGTATTTTTTATTGCTTTAATTAGCAGTTTAAGTGTTTTTTGGTGTTTTTTCCCTTTAAGTGACAAACTATCTCTCAGTGCTTTTAAGTAGTTCTTTGGATGGGGTTGTGGAGAAGGTTATTGAAGTTTATGATTACTTTTGTCAATGTTTAACTACTTCAACAAACACAACAGTCAGAGTTTCTTTGGATTTTATGCCCTTTGTGACTATCAACATGGCTGCAATCCAGTAAGACTCCAAAAATAGCGAAGATTTACTCTAAAGTAAAAACAGCTGTTAATGTGATCATCATTAATATACAGCTGCCATTTAATTAGTATTTACTTTAAATAAGTGAGTCTTGGAAGACCATTAAATTAACCTTAGAGGGTTAGGTTCTAGATGTGCAACCATCTAAAATCTGAACATATCAGACAACACATTTGGATTTATTCCTTACTGTCAAATCACATGTAATTGAGAAATCTGCTTATGAATTCATGGATGCTTGTTTTTTGCTTTACATACACAAGAGAGATACATACATATCCACAAGAAAAACACTCCAAATTATGTTATGAATTCACAGATTCGTCAACATTTAGAACAAGAATAAAAACATTGATTAAAGGGCGTAGTGTTTTTTGTAGAAATGAGCCAGGAAGGCAGGAGATCTTCCTAAAGAAGACGTCCTAAACAGATTCAAAGGGTTACCAAAATTACAATTTACCAAAATCCGTTAAGTAGGTACTGAGTAAGAACCGTAGAAAGTTACCTGTTATTGAGAAAACAAGAAGTGCGGTAGATCTGGAGCTGACACATAGTATACATGATGATCTCACCACTATCATGTTTATTTGCATGGGCGGTTCTAGACAGGGGCCAACGGGGGCCAGAGCCCCTGTAGATCATGTCCTGGCCCCTGTTATGGCCACTGTACTGAAGACATAACGCTCAAAGAAATTCTAATGATGATATGCACAGGAACAGACATGGTTACTAATAGGTCCTTTGTATCTATTTCATGTTTTTTTTTTCTTTACAAATTCTATTTTACTAATTATTTAAAAACAATAATGGTGATAGCTTCAGTGGTTTTGAGATAGGATCCCAGTTTTCATCTGCTAAGTGTTTTTTTTTTCTAAACAAATTTTAAAAAATACTCTCAATTTTACAGCTGAATTTATGATTTTCTTGAATTCTAATTCAGATTTTATTGAAAATGGTTATTTTAACTTAAGTCAAAATATGTAAAATTCCTAAATTCTGAATGTATATTGATCTAATAAGACAAAATTTTAATTTAACCTAATTGGCCCTGTTTTTTATTTCATAGCTTTCTGTGCCCCCATTAAAAAAACACTGGCCCCCTCCGGGCCCCCTGGTATATTTGGTCTAGAACCGCCACTGTTTATTTGACATATTAAGTATAAAATAGAAGCCTGATAAACCAGACTAAATGAGAGATTAAATGGCAAAGATAATTTTGCCCGCTGGCAAGTGGGGCTAGTTTACTAGGTAAATAAAATAGTATTTTTTACTATTTGTACCGTGTTTCTACACCCATGCTGTTATTGCCATGGTTTTTCAACCATTTTATCTTAAACTTGATCTGAATATTGAGGCCTTTTTTCATAACTGCATAATGTTTCTTCAGTATGTTTTTTCCCCTCCTTGTACACTCCATTTTAATTTTTTGTATTTTCTGTTCTTTTCAGATTTTGTTTTTCGATATGTTTCACTATATGTACAGTACAAATAGACTTTCCAAACAAGTTAAAAACAAAACCACAAGACTTTTTTTTTCCAAGTTTGAAGATGTTTCCTTGCTTTAAGGTCATTAAATTAGCGGGAGTGATGTGATCACTGGGTGTGATTTGGTTCTTAAATATATATATTTTTTTATTTATTATAGATTGGAGCGAAATAAACTGTGTTTCAGGATGGGGCAATTATATTGCAAACTTTTTGTCAGGAGTTTTAAATGTATGCAGCTGTGATCTAATAATCATCTGCCCTCATGACCCGCTGGTTTTCCTGTTTTCTTAAAGAACCACACACTGTAACATTATACCAGAAGGCTTTCTATCACTACACTGTAGATGTTAATGAGCAGCTGGTGGGGCTGCACTTTAAAATATGGTGAATAATGAGTTGCTTTACACACAATGCCAATCTTAAAGAAATGTGTAGTTCCTTAGTATGTTTACAAGAAAGTAGATGGGGTTCTTAAAGTTATAAACCTTTTTTCTTAGTTGCAGTGAAGTAAAAAGTATTTTTTTTAGGGTGAGTAAATTCTGATGCAGTGGAAACAGCTTTTTTTTTAGTTTGCGGATGTAAAAGTAACTTAAAATCAAAGGATTAATCAATGAATATAGGAAGGGATGTCCTGGGAAGCGCTCAACATGGTCAGGAAAATTTAATATGCAGATTTCAACCATGACAATAATTATGCAAACTCATCTCAGACTCCACTCAGCTCAGATGTGTAAGTCTGGCATTGACTGTTGCTGTTTTTATCTAATAGGTTAATAGACATTAACAGGCCCTGCTGGTGGTGGTCCATCTACTCAAACCTATTTTGAGAATTGTCAGCCGCCTAAAGCCAGATTTACTCAACTGAGCTCATTCAGCTTTGATAGCCTTATTGCAAACAGCAGTGGTTACTCTCAAGGCTGCAGCGAACATTTCAAATCTAAATTATTCTCAGGCACGTCACTTATTCATATTGACAAACAGTTCAAATGTGATGCATTCTTAAGCTCCATTTCTTTTTATTTATTCCATATCTATACCCCTTGAACTGTTTTTAAGTTTTCACATTAGCATGAAATGAACTGTATTGAGCTTCTATGTTCCAGACTAACAAATTTCTTTATTTTATTTTATCTATTTTCTTTTTTTACTATACATTTTTATTCAGGTCTCCTTAGACAGTTCTGCAGGCCCATCTCATTACAGTTCTTGCAATGTAAGTCAATGTTGCATATCTAAACGCAGCTATTTGCCCGTCCCCTTTTAAAGCCGGGTCAATTTTAGCCAGAGGGCAAGATTTGTTTAGGATTATTAGCTACAATTTGTAAAATTGAACATATTTTGATTATATCTCTGCCTGCATGTTTAAGATGTCTGCATCCTCGCCTTGCTGAACCAGTCAATTTAGGCATATGTCTGGATAGGTTTGTCCTTGTGCCCCACTCTTTCTCTCCATTTTTCCATAAATTATTGAAAGGTTCTTCATGAGACGTTCAAAATCTTAAATATCGTTTCATATTTTCAACCTGATCTGTCTGTTGGATTTCTTGGTTTTAACGACATTGTTAATTTACTAATGTTCTGTAAAATCCTTCAAGGAAAGTGTGGTCACCCGCAGGTACACTCTTTTATAAGTTTGGTCAAATCTAAAGCCAACTGGCTTTCTTGGTTTTTCATTATAGGAGCATCTGATTAAAATGGCAGAATCCAAATGCAGGAGAAGCCTCTCAGATATTTATATTTGAAACTTTTTGAAGAATCCCCCCTAATAAGGTTTATCATGGCACAACACAATTAGAAACGGTTCAAGAGGTTATGCTTTTGCAGGCACTGTACAATGTAAAGGCTGCTTTATTGATCCTCAGTTTACACCCTGTTTCTGTTCTGTTGTTCAGTTGAAATGTTTTATTAGGTCAGAGAACCAAGAAAATTGTTTTGCCAAGCTCTGGCAACTCTCCCAGCCCCCATTATACCTCATTACATGTGGTGCCTATGTAAAATTACAGTAGTAAACTTAAGGAAAAAGCATAACATGCTACTAACAAATCGTCACCACCACCATGCACAGATACACATGCGGTCCGATTTAGCGGACTGAGCGTCTGTTTAACTGTCAAACCTGCAGGAGCTTCTTTTTTTTTTCTCACTCCCACAATTCAGAACACTTAGAGCAGATAATGACATTCATTTCCGCTTTTGTTCTCCACTCAAAGTCCTGAGGTTCTTGGAAGCCTTGACTTATCCAATTAAAGCGTTATCTCTCTTTTAGGCTTAAAGATTAGGAGCAGACTCACTGCATTGAGTTTCAGACAGAAATCCTAGGTGCTGCTGCTGGTGGTAAAACTTTTCTCTCCCAGCATTGGTTTCACCTCCAGATCCTTGCAGAAAAAAAAAGAGAATCCTCGAAAGGAGTGATGGGTTCCTACAGCTCAAACCTGGATGATATCTTGGAAGAGGACATGCACCACTGGTACACCAAATTCATGAGGGAATCTCCATCTGGACTTATCACTCTGTTTGAACTGAAGACGATGCTTGACATGAATGGGATGACAGAGGAGGCCAGCAGTTATGTTGACCAGGTGTTCTTCACCTTTGATATGGACGGGGTAAGAAAACTCTGCTTTTATGATTTTAATAAGGTGACATGACCAAGATGAAAGAGTGACAGAGTTGACCTATTAGCAGAAAAATTTTATTCCGTATATAAAATTTTTTGGTCCGGATTTTTACAATCTTAACTAAAGAAGATGTTGATTGTGGAGCAAATGAACTGATGCTTATGTTGTCTTTGTTGTCTCCTGCAGGATGGCTATTTAGACTTTGTGGAATACATCGCAGCTATAAGTCTACTGCTGAAGGGCGAGGTAAATCAGAAACTGAAGTGGTACTTCAAGCTTTTTGATCAAGATGGAAACGGAAAAATTGACAAGGATGAACTGGAAACTATATTCAAGGTAGAGTTAGTATTTCACTGATGTTTCACAGTCAGACATGCAGAGCATGAGAGCTTGCTTCTTTGAATCCTTAAAGCGTTGCTATTAACAGCTCCTGTACTGGACATGACATCTAATCTGGGCACCTCTTACCTTATTGTTGCGCTAAATGTTGTCTTATCTAACTCAGTGACTAGATAAGCCACACAGGTCCAATTCATTGCATCAGTGTGTATTTATTGTGAAATGTACTTACTAATTTAGTCAGGGTAAAAATAAATGTTAAACAACTTTTTAGCTTGTTAGAGCTCCTGGTTTGTTTATAAATTCAGCCGTTTCATGTTAAACCTATAACCTACTGCAAGATTTAAAAGCTGGTGTTAAATTTCCTTTACAGGCTATTCAAGATATCACCAGAAGTTATGAGATCCCCCCAGAGGAGATTGTGACACTTATATATGAGAAAATTGATGTTAAGGGAGAAGGTAATAAACACAATGCTGTAGTAGTTAACCTCCTTGCCCCCTCCTTGCCACCCCCCCCCCCACCCCTCACACACACACACACACACACACACACACTCACACACAAATTATTTATTAATAATTTGATGTTGTGTCTTTGAGTGGTACAGTATGACAAATGGAAAGTATGGTCCTGAGAGGTGAACGTTTAAGAATTCATGGTTTTATTCCTTTGTTTTCACAAATCCTTATTTAAAAAATGCTGCCTTAATTCTTTTTCAGCCTTCCTGAATCCATACTATGTACTACTAGCTTTAACAGGAAGCATCTACCAACTTTGTAAATGTAGAAAGGGAAATTTCTATCCACCCTTCATGGCTCTTGCTGTCTGTTAGATTGCAGCAGGTTAATGTCTGGACTTTGACTGGGCCATTCCAGGACATAAATATGCTGTTATCTAAACCAGAGCTGTTGTGATTTTTTTTATATCATATAGTTTTTATATCTAATATTCATATCAAATCTATACTAAACAGTCAACATTTTTGCCAAACCTCAAAAAGCAGTGCACTGTATTAAATCTATCAATAAATCATTTCTCACTTATTACAAATACAGTGGTTGCATTTGAAATGAAAGAAAGACTGATAATAATATACATCGTGATGTACCTTAAGTTAAAGAAATGTTAAGAAGTTTTTAGTTTTCCAGGGAAACTCTTCCCTTTAGTAATAGAGAGTGTCTTTATACATGTGCTGTTGGTCCACATGTGTACCGCCCCATTGTAGCTCTAGCTGTGTGTTTAGAGTCATCATCCAGCTCAGAGTTGAAGTCTTATGCCTTTTGGAGTCTTTCATTAAAAAATTAAGATTGTAGATAATGTTTGTTTAGAGTAATGTACATTGTTAGGTTCCCTTCATATAAACTGATTTGAATTAAAAACAAAATGTTACAGAACACCTTCTTCTACGTGATGTTTACCATGTAAGCTTCATGACTCACCTTAAAGGGGAATGCAGTCTCGTTTACATTTGGCCCTTGATTTAAAGTTATTACATAATTTTTTACTCACCCATATATGTTTTGTGTCATTTGGAGCTGTTCTGAAGATATCTGGTTTTGTAATCCAAGTAATGTCTTCTTATGGGCAACGAGTTGAAGGCACAAACTAAACTGTTAATAATTTATTCTTTATTCTGGCAGCCTGTTTATTCTTTATTCTTTACGCCAGGATTCCTAACATGTAGGCGAATCACTGTCACCCAGACATCCTTGGTTATATTTTTTATATTTATATCTTTTTTAAACAAAGCGGCGCATGTATGACGTCATCCGCGCATGCGGACTGGAGTAGTGACAGGCAGCCCGGGCCACAGGCGGCTACGCTCTACCCCTTCTATTCATTCGGCTAGCTAATCTGAATCGTTCAATTCCATTTCCAGAGCAAAATCATCTGTGGTAGTAGCACTAGACATCTTTCAGGCATGTGAGTAAAACTAGCAGCAGTTCAATGGACAGGATGAATGGTAGGTGGCGCGCGCGGATGATGTCATACACACTCCGCTTTGTTTAAAAAAAAATAAATATGAAAAATATAACCGTGGATGTCTGGGAGACAGTGATTCGCCTACATGTTATGAATGCTGGTGTGCCATAAATGATAAATTATGAACAGTTCAGTTTGTGCCATCAAGTTGTTGCCCATAGGAAGACATTACTTGGATATAACCTAACGGAATAGCTTAAGAACGGCTCCAAATGACACAAAACTCATACGGGTGAGTAGAACATGATGTAATAACGGAAAGACAAGGGCCCAATATAAAAGAAATGGTGTTCCCTTTTAAATTAGACTTCTGCAGTATTAGTTCCACGATGGCTTTTTTTTTCTTTTTTTTCTTCAAAAAAGTAAAACAAAATAAAAAGAAAAAAACAAAAGAGATCTGTAGAGGGTGTAAGTGCTAGTTTCTTGTCTGCAGATCCCCTCCTGGGCTGTGGATGAATCCTTTGCTCCTCCAGGTTAATTAATTGAACTTTATTGATCTCACATTGGAGAAATTTATTTCTGCATTTAACCAATCCCGTTAGGGAGCAGTGTGCTGCCATTGTGCGGCGCCCGGGGAGCAGTGTTGGCAGTCTATGGGAGTTGGGCTTGAATCCAGAACCTCAGGATTCCAAGCGAAATGCCCCAACCACTATGCTGCTATTCCCTTCTACCCCACTCCCTTCCAGGTTAACCATGGACCTCTTGGTCTATGTGGCGGTTAAAGCCATATTTAATGTTAGATTAATTCAATCAATTTGTCCATTAGTTGACATTAAAAACTAAGATGGTTGCAATGGATTTTATTTATTGGTATTAGATATAATGGGGGATAATGCACTTGGATAAAGAAAATAATCATTTTATTTCATTCAAATGTGCATTATTTTCCTTCAAACTTAAGAAAATGAAAAAGTTTATTGGAATTTCACATTAAAAAACAATCCACCCTATTTAAAAAAAACAATGTCTGTTTTTTCAGGTGGGCTGAAATTCAAGTGCATTTCAGAATGTTTGGCTCCATTTTGCCAAAATAAAATAATAACATCCAAAATGCATAAGATAGACTTTTCATTCCTTTATTCACAGGTGAGCTGACGTTGGAGGAGTTCATCAGCGGAGCGAAGGAGCACCCTGACATCATGGATATGCTCACAAGGATGATGGATCTCACAAATGTCTTGGAAATCATAATCAAGGGTCAAAGGAGAAATGTGAAATGAGATTTAACTCAACAAACTGGAAAACGTTTTGCCGAGTTATGCTTTGTAAAAAAAAAAAAAAGACTTCTAAAGATTTGAACATTTTATCAGACAGTAACAATTAATGGCACAGAAATTGTTTTTATCTCCTCTGCCAGTGCTTGCAGAACACTGATTACAGTTTTGGTTTAGGCTGAAAATATTTTTGCAAAAGATTTACTAACTGACCTCTGTGAAATGTTAAGCTCATGGTTCCATATTGTGCAACATATGAATCAAATCCACTTTATTATTCAGTGTGTTGTTAATCTCAACTATTCTCAGTATGTAAGCAAACATATTGAGATTAACTGGAACTGTAGATTGTGGCTGAAAACTGCTGTTACTCACAGGAAACTGTGAGTAACAGCTATTAGCCTGAAACCAGAGGTGCAAAGACAGCTTTTTCTACTAACAGAACATATTATGTATTGTACATTATTTTTCCACCACTGAGATGAGAGTGATTGCCTTTATGATCAATGTGTTTATATATGGTCAATGTGTGTGTATATCTATATATATATAGATACACACACATATTAACAGTAATTAGACAATGTCCTTGTTCAGGTTAAACTCCAGATAGGGAAGAAATATCTTTAAAGCTGAAAAAAGTGGAAGTGAAAGGAGTGTCTTTTTTACATATATGTTTGTTTGTTTGTTTGTTTACAAAATCTAAAATTCAGTTGTAAATATGAAGCAATTACCTGTTAGAAAAGGGCGGAGTTTGAAGCATGTTTTTTTTTTTTTTTTTTATCTAAGGCAGGCATCCATAAAAAGCATTTTTAAGATTGAGATTCAAAATTAAGATTATTTTACTTGCAGAAGATATTTTTATCTTTGTTACTAATGTATTCAGATTTCTTGGATCTGCAGGCTTACATTGAGTAATTGATTACAAATCCAATGATCATAATGTAATGAAAACTGTGAGGGATGAGGCAATGTGCCACCAATGACATCCCTGTGTCTGTGGGGCTTTTGCATGACTTATATCATGGGTAAATCCCTCCTTCGATACCACCTCTTCCCTCAATGAAACCCATTAAAACAATTACCATCTTTAAATTCCTTAAATTAACAAAAACATGTATTCCAGGTGTAGTTGTCTGTATTTTGTAGTTTTACATCAAATCTTAAAATGTAAAGATTTTTTATTTCTAACAGACAGTTAGTTGGACTGGAAATGCTTTTGATTTTCCTGGAAGTTGCAACCTTCTGTTTCTGTGTAATATTATGTAAATAAGGAACTAATGCATATTTAATTGTGGCGTAATGGGTAAAAAGGTTTCGCAATACGTTTCAAGATGGTAGAAATCTGTTTGGGCTTGATCTAGACTAGACATTGGCTTCAGCTGTTGGGACCAACTGATCTGTATTTTTATATGATTACAAGTGGAAGTAGTTATCTACCTCCTTTTGTGGATCCCTTTAAATCCAGTATAAATTAGCTTAAGAGTGCCCTCTGCTGACCATTGTCAACTATTACAACACAATCATTCTATTATTAAAAGACATTCTTTTTTGTGTCTCATTTGTATTAAAATCTCTGTATCATAAATGATTTTCTATCATGTATTGAGTTCCCAAGTCTTTATTTTAACATATTAGAAATGTGTGATCATGTGCTATGATTTCTCAACTTCTCTTTTTTTATATTTTTAACAGCATCCTTATTTTCTTGTTTGAAAATTTGGGTTATAACTAACTTCATTACTCTTTGCTTTAAGGTCATTCAAACATCATCATGCTTGCCAGTGATTTCACAGAGATAAGTTTTGGTGCTAGCAGTTCAAATATTAGAAAATGTCAGACTGTGTTGCGTAAAGTAAATAGAGAAAAGATAAGGTTTGACTTCGAATAACACCCAAACGTTAGCCTGAACATATCGGACGATGCAATTACACAAGCACACTGATCAACCCACCTTTGCTGCTCGTTTAAAAAGCGATCTCTCCCAGCAGCTTTGCACTGCATCCATCTACCTTCTGGTCCCTTCCACAGCTCAGGAACAGCGATCCACCTGAACTATGCAGTCCGCTGAAGCCAAATTCAACAAAAACACCTTGTTTTTGACTCTGAAGCGATACAGCTCAGCTGTCGGCGACATGGAAAAGACCATTCTGCTGCCAAGCCTGCTGCGAGACGTCCCCTTTGACTGTGAAGCAGCAGATGAGACCTGCAGAGATCTCTACACCAACTACTTGATGCTGAAGGCCATTCGAAACACAGTGGAGAGCAGCCTGGTAGCCCTGGATGATCACAAATCAAAGAACACAACACTAACCAAGACTCTGGAGCCTTTCCTGGATGCTGATCCCGAAGCATTGTTTCTCTTTCATCTGAGAGGTCTGTTTAATGTGATGAGCGACCTCACAAAGAAGACTCGCAGCGTCACTGACAAATACTTGGACATAATTGGGTTGGCAAATTAAAAGTCAAATTGGCTGAGAAGGGTTTCATTTGGTGAACTGAAGTGGAAACATCATGAAAATTGAATAAATTTACTTGGCCAAAACTGACAACTAGTGTTTCATTTGTAAGCAGTCAGTTGCTACAGTAATTCATACTCTTGGTATCAAAAGAGAGTAAAGGGAAGCTTGAAAAGTTCAGTTGAGGAAACTGGATGTGATGTTTCCTAGAAGACGTTTTGTCTCTCATGAAAGAGGCTTCCTCAGTTTGGATTTTAATATGCTGCAGGTATTTTGTTCCCCCCAAAATTTGTTACACCTACAGTATATTATTCTAAGTCATTTTTCTCAGGCAACTAGGCGTGATGTTTTCTAGAAGATGTTTCGCTTCTCATCCAAGATGCCTCCTCAGGTCTAACTGGTGGTGCACTGAGAATCTTCACAGATAAGAAAATAAAGGTAGTATTTGAAATGAGTCATGCACCGATCAGTAAACAGTAGGTCAAATTGTGAATTTTATTTCTTAATATTTAGATGCTTATAAGCTAAATTTTAACCTTGTAGTGTTAAAAAAATGTAGAAATTTTGTTTATTTTCCAATTCTTTTACGTCCAAATTTTTGACAGACTAAAGAGTAAATTATAGCACGTCTGTTTCTCATTCGTTTTTAAAATGAAAACCAGGAATATATGGATCAGCCCATTCTGTGATGATACTAACCAAACTCTCACCATGGACTAACTTACAGATTATTTTTTATTAGAAAAACTTAAATTTAAAAGAAATTTATAAAGCAGGGGTCACCAACACGGTGCCTGCAGGCACCAAGGGGCCCTCAAGGACCACATAGGGGGCCCTCTTCGTCTTCTGAAAACAGAACAACTCACTCAGTTGGTTAAGTTTAATTTTTTTTTTTTCTGTTGCTCTTCTTTTTAATCATTTATGTATTATTTTATCATGTTAACTATCTCATCATATTTCTGTGGTTTCAAAATGACAATTTCAAAATGAAAATAAGAAATGAATAAAAGAATAACATAAAAATAAAAATGACTTTTTATGCATGAGATTTACTGTATTGAACACTGATCCCTCCAGTTCATAGGTCAGTATTGGTAGCCCTTCCTATGACTCAGTAGCCATGAAGTAGCCCTCAGCCTTAAAAAGGTTGGTGACCCCTGCTATAAAGACAATCACTTTTATAGCATAGCAGTCTTAAGTCTATTACTTGCTTATGCATTACAAAAAAAACCTTAATCCATTTTTTATCAAATTATTAGACATTCCTAATTTTGAAGCACTTCAAATTTTTAAAATGTCATTTTAATATTTGACCTGCAGATGAACCATTGAGGCAGATTAAGTTCAAATTAAGCGCTTAATCTTCGGTCAAATGATCGGTGCAATTCCTATTCAAATCAGTTTGTCTGTTGATTGATTGGGACAAAAGCTTCATCAACGGGTCATACTTTCACATTTTTCCATAAAGGAACTACTGATGCACCTCCCCCAAAAGTGAATAAAGAACTCCTTAAAAAAAGACTGCAAAGACCAATGGGGAAGTGATGGCCTTGCAGGGTGCTTGTGTGTTGAGAAGGCTGTAAGTTCCTCAGCCGTTAACCCATTCTTGAGGGATGGGTTAAATGCAGAGAGCAAATCTTATCGAAATCTTCAAAACTGTTATAATCATTGTAATAACAAAGCTTAAAGCAGCATCTTTTGAACAGTATATCAGGTGAATTTAATTTTGGTAGATTTCTTTTATTATTTACATCTCTATAACGCAATCATTATATGACTGATTTCACAAAAAGGCTGCCAAATAAAAGAGTCGGTCCTTTTCCTTCCTTTTGTTGCCATGGTAGCCACTCAGACTTAGCGCACAGGATGGAACGGCTCCACAATCTCAGCAAAGGTCTTTTTTTCTGATGAAATAAAAATACAAAAAGAGAGAACTTTAGATTGACAGGACTTTTTTCTAAAGTACAGGGGTCCGTTTCATGAAGCAGGTTTACTGAAAACCAAGTTGTCTAAACCTGAAAACAGGAAAACTGATTTTTCCGATTCACAAAGGGTTTCCTCAGCCTCTGTTTTAGTCACTGGAGTAAGATTCTCCCCAGAGCTAACCTGGTCATTAGCAGGTTTTCTTCACTAAACTCAGATGGTCCTCGGTCCTTGCTCTCCTCAGATTTTTGTTGTAGTTTTGTGCATAAAAAAAATAAATAAAATTATATATATATATATATATATTTCACAAGGTCTGTTAGACATATTAGGTTTTAAAAACAAACATTGCATGTCTATTTGACGAGGATCTTATTTTGAAGAATGATAAGCTTTTTCACAGAGAATTTAATATTTCTAGGGAGAGGATTCTACAACTCAGTTGACAGGGCATGAGATCAGTTGTTTTTGGTTTGTTTAATATGAGCAAGATGCAGATCATTTTATTTTTATTTAGTTATATTTACAGTACATGAAGAACTACTGAAATTATTTTGAGATTACAAATATTTAGATTCAATAATTCCACGGAGGAAAGGGAATTACTTTAGTGTTAAGATTAGGATTCACTTGATGATACCAACCTAATAAGCCTACTGGCACAGTCTGTGGGCATTCTATGGTACTGATAGCTGCTTATAACAACCATTTATTGTGATGGCAACATCCGAGGCGCTGCAGCAAACAGCGACTTTACTGCGTAAACGAAAACTGAATCGACATTAGGAGGGACGCATGAGATGATCCACGGGTTCTATGAATAAGAAAGTTTTTATTTTTTTATCCTCACCTGCTGCCAGAAGACTTCACTGCCATAGCCCACTTCACATAAAATTACACATTAACTTGAGCAACAATCTTTTCCTTTGCCACCTTCCTCTCCTTTGTAGCTGTAGTGCTTTTCCTCTGTCTTTTAAACACACTCTCCTTTAGTTATTTTTTTGCATTTCTGCATTAAAATCTCTAGTTCCAGTGGGGTGAAATCCGCACTTCCTGTTGCCATGGTGACTCTTCGAATTGGTGCTCCACTGATAATAGCTTTTCACACTTGTTGTGCATGCACTTAACTCTGAATGGACCGAGTTAAAGGCACACTATGCAACATTTTTCAGTTAATTAATGTGTTCCATAACGTTATGGATGATTAAATGAGTCATTTCAGGTTGAACAAAGGTATTCTCGGCCGCCCTGGTGGTCTGTGAGGGAAATACCGCACTTGCAACTGCAGGAGCACCGACCCGCACCCACAGGCTTAGAAGTCTCGTGAGAGTCAGTCTTGCTTTACGGCGAGAACTGCTACACGCCCCCAGTTAAAAGCATTCTCGTTGCTAGCACAGTGGCGATCTTTGTGCAGTTATGCTACATTCACATCGGACGCAGCAAAATCGCGTCTGCTGCTTCATTTTTGCTGCTTGTACCAGTTAGTTCTGACAGCCAGAGCAGCAAAGCTGCTTCAGCCGCGCGGTGCAAAAGTGTGTCTGACGCGCGTTGGGCGGAGCTTCACTATCCTTTCTCTGCCTTGCAGCTATATTTGCTGTGATCAGTGGGAATAAAGTAGTTTTAATATGTGTTTAAGTGAGAAAATACACCTGAAAACGTAATCAGTGCCGTCAGTTCATTCAGATTATTATCCTGCCTTCAATATTTTTTCTGTCGGAGCTGCTCAGACCCCCACATACCAGCGGTGCGCCGACAGAAGGAATCCCTTCATCAGCAGCCTCTGGCTGGGTCGCCTCCTCGCGGTTCACGGCGGCAGCTGGTAGATGTTTTTCATCTAAATAATCCAAACTGCAGGCAGCAGGATCATAAAAGCCAACATATTCTGCCGGCAGATTTCTGCATTTTAAGTTAATTTAGGCGTCAATAAACTGTTTAAGAGGAGTGATCATCAGCGCTGTGTCTCTCTCCCTGCGTCAGATGATTAAACGCGCCCGACGCGCTGCTTCAGCTGCTCAAAACGCGCCGCCAGACCTTTTGCTGCGCCTTGACGCGCATCAACCATTGACTTTGCATGTAAACTCGCTGCTTCTGTCGCGCCAGCTGCGTTCGCCTGTCTGCTAAGCTCAAAACAACCGCGCCTGGCTTGACGGAGAAACCAGGAGAACAGCTGTGCATATTTACGACAGTGCACTTTTACTTTCGCCCTCTGGGGGGAGCCTCGCTGGAAAATCAACACCGGTTGCATAGTGTACCGTTAAAAATCAATTGAACTTATTGATAGCAGCTGTTGTCAAACTGAACACTCAGAGTTCCCGACTTTTGGTTAGATTAATTTAGAGTTGCAGATTTGAATCTGAATTTATCAAACCTGCTTCATGAAACGGACCCCAGGTTCCAACACAACAGAAAAAATAATAACTTTCATGTTTAAGCATTACTAAACATTTATCCAAAGTGACAAAAAAATTAGGACACAATAAAAATCAGTGCATTACTATCTATAGCCACAAAGCATGACATAGATTCAAATCCACATAGATGTGTCAGTGGCAATTATAAACACATTTTCTAACAAACCTTTATGACAAATGAGAAAAGGCAAAAACATGACTAACCTTTCGATTCAAATCTCTCTGGGTGGAGCTTAACATACTGATTCATGTCTCGGTCCAGCTTGGCATAGATGTAGTTTTCATATTTCGTGACATGATAACCAATGAACCAGCCAATAGTAGCCAGAAGGAACTGCCGATGGACACCTAAAGAGTAAGGACAAATATAATCGCCTTTATTGATTTGAGTAGTACATGGGTAGGAAGCTATTTGTTTAGCTGATAACAAATAAAGGTAAGAAGGGGAAAACAAAAGGGCAAAACGTGATCAAGATTATGTTTATTCAATGGCTGCTGTCTATCAACAGGAGGTTGGAATTATAATGGTCTGATTGGGAATCCCAATCTGCAAATTTCACTAATATCCGTTTTGTTTATCAGAACAAAACTAGACTAGTTTGGCATATAATTTTTTTTACTAGAGAGTTGGACATTTTCTTTTTGTCATCAAAAAAGTTCTACAAAAGTTGCTTTGTGTTCACATGTTTGCTTTAGTTTACACTCCATAGTGGATTTAACATGTATCACAAACATTTTATATATATTTTTTTCAAACTTGGTATAATTGCTGCTCTAAGTTGGTTGCTCTGTCAGCTAAAGGCATGTTTTAGAGTTTCTATTCTTCAGGTAACGATTAATCGATTACTAAATTAGCGGACGATTATTTCAATAATCAATTAATCAAGATTAATCCGATTAATCGTTTCAGCCCCAAATGAAAATGACATTTTATCTGATTATTTTGCCATTCCTTAAACTATACTAAAATATGCAACATATGAGCCAAAAAGTTTCTGGTGACTTTTTACTTTCTTAAACATACAAAAAAACTGAGTGACAAAAGGGAGAGTTTCTCAATAATATCTTCATTATCACTGAAATAAACAGCTAAATATTTTGAAATATTTGTACAAAACAGAACAACAGAAACAAAAAGGGGACGTAAATATGAAGGAATCTGAAGTGATTGAAATCAAAAGACCACATACACAGAAAATATAAACAAATAAAACGACATAATTAATTTACACTCTAAAACTGGCAAAGAAAATTGCAAAGTTAATACTAAGTAGAAAAATTAATCATCTGTTTACTATTCTTACAGAGTACCAGCAATGCTAACCTGCTCTCATTGGCGGCCTTTGGTTGAGAGCATTATGGAGCATCGCGGAGACCCAGCCGACACCGGACAACCACACCGAGTTCCTGTTCACTATTCCCGGAGGGGCGAGCGACTTCCCCTCGTCTGGAACAAACACCATGGTGACAATTTAACGCTGATATGTGCAAGTATTTCGTTGATCTAGCGCCTGTGCAGTCCTCAGTCCGCAGCTATCACCTCCCCGTAGGAAATCAAGGACAAGTCGTGCAAGTGAGCAAACCTACCGGGTAAAACAAATGAGGGCTGTTAAGGTTCCATATCATGAAACGCATTTTATTTATTTATTTTTTTTATTAGAAACAAGGGAAATATGTAGAATGACTATATATAAATTCATATACTTAAAAAGAAGAAAAATTCTATCCCTATTTATTTCCTTCCCTGAATTCTTGATAATACAAAGTAATTACATTAAAATAATAAACATCTTTAAAAGATTGAAGGGTTACACATCCACTCCTTAAATTATTTCTTATAAAGATAAATTCAAGCTAGACTAAATTTCAGTTATGATTGCTTTAAATAAATAAACAATATTCGATTAAGTATTTTTGGTATATTAGATTCACATATTCTTGATATATATATATATATATATATATATATATATATATATATATATATATATATATATATATATATATATATATATATATATATATATATATATATATATATATATATATATATATATATATATATATATATATATATATATTAATCTCTCTAATTTATGAACATTATTGGTATCAAAACCAGAATACATTCTGAATATAAAAAAAAAATCTACAATTTATTGTGCAGGAAAAGTTGCTTCCTTTGTCTGTTCCAAAGCCTCTCAGCTTTGTTTATTGGCCGAGTACGTGCCACCCACAATATGGCGGACGCGTCCGCGTACAGTTTTACGGGTTTCCTAGCAACAAAGACCAAAAGCCAAAAAACCCCAACATTCGCCTAAATACTGGCCACTGATAACTATTAAAACAGTATGCTTTTGTGATAAGGTAAAACATAAACGTATAGAATGTTTTACACTATATAAGGTAAATAGTTTATATTAATAATATACTATATAAATACAGTGGAGTTGAACTTGGTTGATTAGCAGTCCGAGAGTGGATGTAAAGCTAATGACATCATTGAGTGAAATCCCCTCTCCTCCTCCTCCTACTCCTCTTCCTCCTCCTCCCTCCTTGATCAGAAAGGCTGCTGCTGTTGCTACTGAGCTGCCTTGGACACAGCCTTCAGCCGGGGGAATTATGCCCTGCTCAGCAGCGGCTGCTTTGCCTATTTGAAGACCCGAACCTATGCATACCAAGTAGTTCTAAGTCCGGGGATATCCCCGTGTTGATTGGTGAGTGGAAATAGTTGTAATTTAAAAAACTATCTTATTATTTTGTGCATTGATGCGCTGCTAGGCTGTGATTTTTCTCCTCTGTAACTGCAAATAGCTGCCAAAATGGCTAGAATGTCACAGTAGCTTTGCTAGTATTAGCAACTGCTGCTAGCTTAGCTCTATTAGGTATCAACTCAGCCTGCAGATTAATCATCTTTGATAAGGATTATAACGTTAAATGAGATAAAACATGCACTGCAGGTCACGGGGCTTGGATATGGAGGTGGTGAAAGAAAAATAAACTCCACGACACGATGATGTTTATATTAGATGAACGCATGGGCTATTAATGAATGTAAAATGTAAACTAGGATGTAACAGTGTGAGCAAGCAACAGTGTGTCTGCTTTAAATGCATCTGTTAATGGTTTTAGATTGCATGCAGGATATTTTACTGTCACTGTTAAATGCTCATAACTGCATGCCACACCTTTTTAGATCTGATCAAACATTTGGTCAAAACGTTTTTTTTTTTTTTTTTATAAATCGTTTTAATACATAGAATTTATACAAGATAAATAAAATGTAATAAAAAAACAAACAATTTATATAAAAAAATAAATAAAAACAAACAGCAACAAATAATCATGTCTCCCCAAGTCACAGGTCTAGTCCTATAGGAAACACCAGGAATATTTGATCTTTAAAACTCAAAGTTGAACAAGGATGATAATCAGGGCGGAAACAATTAATCGTAATAATCAATTATTTAAATAATCATCAACTAATTTAGTAATGGAATAATCTCCTAAAACACGCCTTTAACTGATTGAGCAACCCACCTTAAGCAGCAATTATACCAAAATAAATAAAAAATATGTAAACAGTTTGCATGCAAGATAAAAAAAACTTTTTAATCTGTCAATATGCCCTATCCAGAACTCATCAAGTGGAAAAGTTTTTGTCTCACCTGGTTAAATTCTATAAAAAGTACTCTTTAAGGTGCCTTAAGGAGCCTTAAAATGCTAATTAGCCTCAAATGTTGCCAACTAATCAGAACTGCATTGACCTGTCTGTCAAAATTGAAATTCTCGCATATAGTCAGATGTTTCCTTATTTGCCACGGTGTATCACCTAAAGTCCTATTAAAGCGCAAGGAACTTTGTTGTTGTAATAGCAGAAAATGTTAAGAATCATGATTACATATGAAAGCCACTTTATTCACCAACATTTTATAACTTCGTCTTCTGAATTCTATGATTTCTCTATAGGTTATTATGAGCATGGAAGATTATGACTACCTGTTCAAAATAGTTCTCATAGGAAATGCTGGAGTTGGAAAGACATGTCTTGTCCGGCGCTTTACTCAGGTTTGTATATAACCACGGTTTTTGTAGATCTTATCAAAAACATGTCTGGGAATGTTTTCATTCTAAATATGTACTCAAATTATAGGGGCTTTTCCCACCTGGACAAGGGGCTACTATTGGAGTGGATTTCATGATTAAAACAGTGGAAATCAATGGGGAGAAGGTCAAGGTAAACACAAGCTACAAAAAGAGCGTTCACATAAGGATTTCTTTAAAGCTGGCCAGTGATTCTGTGTCGTTTGCTCTGTTTCACAGTTGCAGATATGGGATACCGCGGGACAGGAGAGATTTCGCTCCATTACTCAGAGTTACTACCGTAGTGCCAATGCCCTCATTCTTACTTATGACATTACTTGTGAGGACTCCTTCAGGTGCCTTCCAGAGTGGCTGAAGGAGATTGAACAGTATGCCAACAACCAAGTGGTGACTATATTAGTCGGTAAGAAAGTCCTGCTTTCTGCTTTATAAACAAGATAGGTTGTATCGTCTGCAGTGCACCAAATATTTGAAGGGCCCCTGTAAAAAAATGACCTCAAATTTCCATTTAATAATTTATTACTGACTACACAAGCTATTCGTAACCTTACTTCAACTTTAAAAAAAAAAAATGTTTTTTTGTTATTTGTTTTCTTTCCTGCAATCTCTAGTAGAGAAATTGGGGCAAACACTAAGCTGTTTGTCTTGTATTACCTGAATGTAGAACCCCATATTATTTTATTTTGGCTGTAAAGTCCTTATGGTTTAGATTAGTCTTGTCAAATTCTGACAAATTTGGGAACTATAATCTTATCCAAATAACTGTGAGCAACCTCCTACTAAATATAATTTCAGTGGATCTTGAGTGGTTATTTGGGTTGTCAACATAATCAATATCTCTGTTATGTAATATTAATATTCAGTGCCCACACTGTTATTTAATCATCAACCTTTCAGACTGCCATATGCGGTCTGTGTCTGGCAAATGAAAAGCTTGGATCGAGCTCAAATCATGGTTAAACTCTGCACAAATATGGAATAAATTCACATCAAACTCTACTGAAATTATAAGAATGTATTATTAAAAATAATTTAACTAAATGTCAAACATATTTCAGTAAAAAAATATATAAACTTTACCAAACTAGTGAAACTCAACTAAGCCACTACGTACACGAAACGAAAGGAACTACAACTGGTTGAAAACTAAAATCAATAAATTGATGTAATATCACAGTTTGGTATGGATTTTATATTTGACAGTTTGGAATGTAGTCAAATTAGCTTTTAACTAATTTAGAGCAATAGGAATGTGTTCAAACAAATTCATGATGCAAATACAAGAGTTAAATACGAAATTATTTGGTAAAATAGTGTTTTTAAAAACAATTTGTTTAATCAGAAATAATAACCAGTAACTTTTTCTTTAATGGATTCTTAACCTTCTGTGATTGTTCCTGTCAAAATAGTTAAGGTAAAAACCTCCTAGCTTCTTTAGCTAGGTTAGCTAATAGCTAGCAGACATAAGAGAACTCATTTAAAGTTTGCTCTTTGGTCATATTTTGGCAATCATATGCATTGAGTACATGAAACACAGAAACATTATTTTTAGTGTTTATTCGAGTAGTGAAATACATATTTTAGCTTTATAACCAACTGTTAGCATCGGGTACCATGGAGTCACCATTAGCTTCTTGTTAGTTTGTTAGCTTGCTTTAGACAACGGTAAATGCATGAAATGATCTAAAGTCCAAATTATTTTATCGCTTTTAATGCTATTTTAATGCTTTCTCTAACTTTGCCAGCCTTGTAACCTCTGTTGAAATCAGTGTTGAAAAGGTGGAGAGTTTCCAAAGTTCATGAAAGCTTAGCATGTCAGCCCCTCCGCTCCGTGCAGCTTCACCACACCGTAATAATGCTGCTTGGTGTTTTAAAGTGTGCAAACATGTTCATGAAAATCAAAACTAAAAGCAAAAAAAACAAACCCTTTTATTAACAAGACAAAAGAAAAGAATTTGGTTTGGGGAAACATTCCCTATAATGCAGATTAACAAGAAAAACAAACAAAATGCAGAGTGACACTACATGCTAAGCTAATGCCGCAGGGCTGTGGTTTTAAAGCAATGTAAAAAGGGGAGTAAAGCTCTGGTTTCTACAGCAGTGAACCTTCCAGACATTAGCCAATGCTACCTGTCTATGGAAACAAACAGCCCAAAGTTTGTGTTCTATTGGTCACCTTCCTAGGAGCACTGCAGCAGGAATCAGCTTAGGAAAGTATTAAACAGCTGACATGGAAGTCAGGTAATAAACAGAGAAGCATCAACACAAAAAACTACACTAAATGGCTCTCCTTCGTTCAGTTCTAAATCTATGGCTACGTTCATACCACAGCCTGAAGTGACCTAAATACGATTTATTTTTTTTCCCATCTGCGACCTGGATCTGATCTTTTCATGACAGTCTGAACAACACAGATCCGATTTTTTCCAATGCGACCCAGGCCGCTTGGCTATGTGGTCCTGAATTCGATACGAAT